GGGGCGGGGGGAGCGGGAGGGAGGCGGGAGAAGGGGCGACGGGAGGGGGGAGGGGGGACAAGGCCCCTCCCCAGGCCTCAGCTCCCTCCGCGGGCAGCTGGTGCTACAGTCCGAAGCCCCCTGTGCCGCTCAGTGCTCACCATGGGGTCCCCGTGCCACGGGGGTCACTAAGGGATTCACTTCACTCTCCAGAAGAAGCCCCAAGCTCACAGCCCTTGGAAAACCCTTGGGGAAACCCCAGCAGCCCAGTGTTGCCTGGGCTTCTGCAGGGACGTGGCGAGGCGGGTTTGGCCTGTCAGCCTCTCCTGCCCAGGGAGCCCTGGGGCATCGCTGCAGCCTGTCTGCCGCACAGTGAGGTGGGGGCCATCCGCAGAGCTGGGACCACCGGGCCCCAAGATCCAGTGAGACACGTGCGCTGACCTGACAGCACTGTCCCGGGCCAGATAAAGAGCTCGAATTCTCTCCTACGGCCTCAAGAGGACCCACTGACCCCAGGCGGCCACCCCGTGCCCCTCCCACGCTGCACTGGGTGGGGCCCGTGGGACTGAGGGCAAGGGCAAGAGTTGGGGGGTCAGGTCAGGAAGGCTGCGGCTGTCTCAGCTCCCTCTCGCGCTCTGGGACCCTGGCCTCAGGGAATGCCCTGACCTGCGTGGCCCCAAGGAGGGGCCCACGTGGAAACAGCAGGGTGGGGGGCCGCGGTCACTGGCTGATGCTGGCACCTGACGGGAGTGCGGCTCCTGAGGATGGGCTGCAGCCTTGGCCTGAACAAGCGGCAGGTCGGGCCTCTCCCCAGGGAGACACGCCAACCCCAGGACCTCACAGTGCAGACCGTGGCCCTCAGTCCCCCGGGCCCGACCCCAGGTGGCCGAGCGCACGTCAGGGAAGCAGGACCCGCTGCTGGATGCAGCAGCAGGGGGACCGCCATGGGGAGGGGCTGCCAGGGCACCCACGGGATGGGGGGGTGGGTGGGAGTGAGTGCTGGGTACCAGAGTCATGCGCCCAGCAACCACGCTGTGTGTCACACGGAGTCGCCAGAACAAAAAGGGTCAAAGAGTCGGGTCAGGCCGGGCAGCCTTTGACGGAAGTGCCCCCCGCAGTGCTAAAGGGGGAGTGTCCTGGGACGCAGGGGACCACGGTGGACGTACCAGTCCGCAAGGCACCACCTCGTCCGGATGAAGCCTTTCCTCGACCACTTGCACTGAAAAACAAACAGGTCACACTTGTCAGCAGTGAGGGGGGAGGGCACGCCTGGCTCACAGGCAGTCGGGGCGCCGAGAAAAGTGGGACCACATGGGCTCCGCACTGGCTGCGGGCAGGGAGGGGACCACAAGGCACAACCACCACCATCTCCCAGACCAGCTGCAGGGGCTCAGTCAGCCAGGCCATGGGGGGCCCCAGTGGACAGGAGGACGCCCTTGGCCAAGTTCAGGGGGCCCCGAGCGGCAGCTCCAGCAAGACCTCCTACGCAGCTGGCAGGCCTGGTGGGTGACAGGACGCGTCTAAGCTGGAAGGAAGCTGCGTGGTCTGCGTGGAGAGGCCGCCACTAGCGGGCTCGGGGCCTGTGGCATCATCGCCGCGAGAGAGCCGTGTGGGACCCCGGGAGGCAGACAGACACAGAAACCCCATCTTTACTTCTGCTCCACCAACCCCACCTCAAAGAAAAGAACTTCTGCTGGAGAAGCTGGGAGAAGCCTCGCTGAGCCGCCGCCCGTCCTGCTGCTCCGCAGCTGGGGTGGCACCTGCCCTGCCCAGCGTCAGCGGCCACCTTGTCCCCTCGTGCTCACGCTGGGCAGAGAGGAGGGCGGGATGCAGCCGAGCTGCCCAGCAGCCGCTCTGTGACGAAGGGCGTTCTGTGTTGTGGGCCGCGTGTGACATTGTCATAATCAATTTTCACTTAAATGGCCACACAGCACAGGGTAGCTTCACGGCCTGAGCAGTTTTGGGAGTGGGGCTCCGCCCGGCACCCCTTGCAAGTCCGCGGGAGGCACTGGGGACCTTTCTGAATCCATGGTGGCAAACTTTAGGGTGCTGGAGGGAACGTCTGTCTTCTCCGGGACCCTCCACCCACATCCCAGAGCAGCGTGTCAAGCGTCCCCGGAGCACAGGGGCCGGTCCTCAGGCGGGGGGGCATGTGGGGCTGTGCCATGGTGACAGGCGGGGGCAGAGGGCGGAGACCGTGTGGTCCTGGAGATGGTAGCCAAGTGGGACCCAGAGACCGACGCGGCGAAAAGCACTGCCTCCTGACGGCCGTGTCCAGGGAAGCGGGGGCCCAGGTCAGCCACGCGTTTCTTTACTTCGTGCAGACGGTTCTGCAGCTAAAGCGCTCTCCGCGCGCCTCCCTAACCACCGTCCCGTTTGTTTCTACTCCGACAGCCAGCCGTCACGAGGGGCTCCTCTCTCTTCTGCTCCGTTCGTTCGGCGCCCCGTGGGCTCCTAACCCCACCCCCTGCCCAGACTGCTCTCGCAAGGTCACCACGGCCTTGAGTTCCGGATGCGTCCTCAACTAGACCGCTGATTCACTGACCCTCTCTCTGACCACGTCTGGTTCAGAATCCAGCCCGCTGTTCAGCGCAGCGGGACCCAGGAGCCCTCGAGGTTGAGAATTGCACCCAAGGTCACATGGCAAGTGGTCACCCGCTGGGGCAGGCCGCAGGGGAGCCAGGCCGGACGTGGGCCCGGTCAAATCCAGCCGAAGGTCCGTCGCCTTCTCCCACTGCCGCAGCGGGAGTGGGAGGGGGTCGCCACGCGCACCGGCTGTTGAGCCTCTCCGGGAGAACCAGCGACTTGTCTTCCCTCTGGAGCCACGTCCTGCAGAGAGTGGGAAGCAGGCGCCGCCACCCTGGTGCCCTCGTGCACATTCGGAAACCAGGAGCCGCAGCACAGGGCGGCCTGACTCCTGGGCTCAGGGCAAGCCTCTGGAAGTGGGACCAGGGTCTGGGCCGGTTCCCTGGGAGCAGCCGGCAGGGCAGCCTGCGGTCAGCACACATGTAGGGAGGCTGGGGCCTCCAGCACAGAAGCTTCTGGATGCAGGTGCTCGTAGCAGACGGAGGCGGGGTGCAAGCGGGCGGGGCTGGGCCTCCTCTGCCTCTTCCCAGCCCAGTGCACGCTCCCAGGCTCACTGGTCCATCGGCCGCCTTCTCAAGCCACCGAAGACTCCAGGCGACGGTAGACGGGACGGCAGTGGCTGGGGTGCCCACCCCAGTTCTCAGAGAGGCTCTCACACTGGAGTGGGAACCATGTCACGCCCGGGCCTGGGTGGGGGCGGTGCGGGGACTGCCACATCGTTCACCTGACAATATTAAGTCTCTGCTCAGATGCCCTGTTAATAGGATTCCTTTACCAGCAGATGGATGGCGAATACAGGCGGTTGGTTTCATCTACTAAAAGACGGCATAAATCACGGTGAGGAAAGGGAGGCTGCGGGAAGGTTATCACCACCCAGCCTCCCCATGAAAGGCCTGCTTCAGAGCATTAGTGAAATTAATTCATCTTTCATAAGAGCTTGGAACAGTCCCTGTGATGTATGGTAACAACCAATTTCTCACTACGGGCAAGAGGGAAAAAATGCCTCGGCCCCGACTGACGACACAGACCTGCTTTTTAAAAATGGCCTCACGTTGTCTGGAGTGCTTCCCCCAGAGGCAGCGTGTGGGATTCGCTGGAGCCAAGAGCGCCCACAAGCCACCAGGGAAAGTTCTGTCGGTTTTATGTGCCGTGGGCTGTAATTATTTGGAATTTGCATCGCGCCTCCATCATGGTAATTACGTTTAGATCTGCCCTTAAGTGACGGTAATAAAAGAATGAGAAATCAGTCTGAAACTAATTCCCTCCCTCAAAACGTGTTCCAGTAAGGCTAAAGGCCTGGCCTGCAGGCCCAGCAGGCGGGGAGCAGCCTCGGCGCAGCCTCCTGGGCACCGCGGCCCTGCCCGGCGGCCTGTTGACCTGACGCACGGCAGGCAGGGGCTTCTAGCAGGACACGGGAGCCCGTCAACGGTCCTGGAGTTTCTTACACCTGAGAAATTCCACGCCGCTGACAGAAACATCAGAAGCATTTGTGTTTTTCTCAACAAGATTCTCCTTCTGTTAATTTATCGAGATGAGAGGAAAATGAACAAGCCCTGAAAACTCATACGTCATCAGACCCAGCGGAGCACACACTCAGGCAATTCCGTGGAGCAGAACGGGGCCCCCAGGAAGGCCGGCACCCCGGGGCAGGGGTCACCTTGTCCCAGCAACACGCCGCTCTAGTCGAGACATCGGGGTCTACCCAGAGACCCCCCAGTCTCCTCCGCCCAGAGACGCACTCCCCGCTCTGCCTGCGGATGACAGTGAGGCCGCCTGGAGTTGGGTCTGAGGAGGGCTCCGCGCCCCCGGCCAGCACCGGCCAGCACCTCGGAGGGCACAGCACATGGGGTGTGCAGGGAGGTAGGAACCACAGCTGAGGTCCCCACACCTGGCCCCCCCCCCACAGGTCAACCTCAGCCCAAGCTTCACAGCCACCTGGGCCCTGGAGGGAAGAGAAGTGCAGGGAGACCCCCAGACACGCCCCGGCCTCTGGGGAGGGAGCCCACACAGGGCAGAGCCTGAGGGCCGGGGGCGGGGGGCAGCGGGCAAGCCGGGAACGCAGAGGCTCCCGCCCAGGTGCCGGGCACCTTCTCCGGAGGAAGCAGTGGGGCCCCCTCTGCCCACCCAGGAGGACACAGTGACGGTCACAGAAGCCTCCTCTTTGGGAGCAGCACAGCTCCTAGATGACAGATGCCGGGAGCCTCCGGTGACCCCAGCTCCGAGGGCACAGGTGAAGTGAGAGGACCCCCAATTCTGGAGTCATCGGCAAGTGACAAGAGGATGAGGGACAGCTGTGGGCTGAGCGAGTCCCTGGGGCGACGGGGGCCGCGCGCTGGGCGTCCAACCTCGAGCCAGGTCACCCAGGTGCATCCCAGTCCTTGGTGGGGGGCGTGGAGTGGGAACCCCATTCCAGGCACCAGGCGTCCCCTGGGTGGGCAGCGGCCTGGGGGAGCAGCGCCTTGAGGGAACGGGTGGGTTCGGGAAGAGCAGAGGCCCGCCTGCCATCCCTGCTCCCTGCCAGTCACAGGCCACGGGCTCGCCTTGGCACCTGCCGCGGCTCAGGACTTCAGTGGCAGTTAAAGGGGAGAGCTGCAAATATACTTAACTGCTCAAAGGGCTGCCTCAAATGCTCCCCGCCCAGCCCCACGCAGGCCCGGGTCCAGCACTGCCCGCCAGCCACCCAGCCCCTGCGCTGATCTGGGCGAAGCTGGCTCCGTGGCCGTCCCCAGCGGCCCTGCCTTCTCTGGCAGGTGCGTGGACCCTGGACATCAGCAGGGGCGTCAGGGGTCCCTCCTGCAGAGCAGCGGCTGAAATGCCAAAGCCTCTTCCTTGGGCCATTCAGGGCTGTCCCCAGCGGGCCTCTGTAAGCTGGCTCTCCAGCTCTTAAGGTGCCCGCGTGGGGGAAGAGGCCAAGACCCTATCTGTGGCGCTGCAGGCCCTGCCCCCAGCCTCCCCGCAGCTTGTGCCGTTTTCACCGGGCTCCCTGGTTGCTCTCAGGCCAGGGCCAGTGCCGGCTCCCGTGCTGCCTGCAGGGGAGCGAGGGTGAGTCTGGATCGGGATGGATCAGGAGACCAGCACTGATGGCCTCTGAAACTGACTTCTCAGCCCTCGCCCTGATCCGGGGAACCTTGGGCCGGCCTCCTGCTGGACACGTCCACTGGCCAACGTCCCGGGAGGACTGCAGGACTCATGGGCTCGGCCGCACTCATGGGAGGCTGAGAACGGGAGCTTCCGGAGCTTTCCAGCCACACCCTCCTCCAACCTTGGACGCAGAGCAGAGGGGAGCAGTGCCGAGGGGAAGGGGCAGGGGCAGCGGCAGGTGGGGCGGGAGGCGGGCCCCTGACACCGCGTCCTTGGCCGGGGACGTGGCCCATCCTTCAAGGCGGCGGCCACCTTTCCTCTACTGCACTACTGCAGGATCGGGCCATAAAGCGAGTTAACAAAGTTGCGGCCTTGCTGAAATCAGCTCCCAGTGCCGCAGGAGGGGCGGCTCCGCAGAGCCACGGCGTGCAATCCTCGGCCAAGCAGACATGCTCCGTTGGGGGTTCAGGGGCCGTGTGGAAACGCAGCTGTGAGGAGGGGCCGCCCGGCTCTCAGTCTCACCAATGCTTCAGTCACGGGTCACTTCCTACTGCGAGTCAACAGGCCCCGAAAGGGAAGGTGATCCAGTCTGGATCAACACCTGGACTACAGAGGTTACGAGACTCCAAACACGCTGGTCATGAGAGTATTCGCCAAAATCCCAGAATCCGAAATTATGTGTGCAGCGTTAACGGCTACATAAAAATAACAGACTAGACAAAAATGCACTAAAACCCAGAGGAAACACATGCACGCTTCCTGATCGTGTCTGAGCAGAGGGTGAGAACCCCGCGCTTCCCTCTGCTGAAGCGCACAGGGTGGGGGCACCGGCTCCGAGTATGCAGCTGCGCCTCTCTGGCCACACCCAAGGCTTTACCCGGGGAAGAGCCGGGGGCTCACTCAGCACCCTGGGGATAGGGAGAGCCCCCCGAGTGCCACTGTCCCAGCGCGCCTGAGCTCTCTGGCCAGGTTGCATCACTGGCCAGAGCGACCTGCTCACACTGAGGTTTGCTGGGAGGCCCCTGGCACACCCCAGGCCCCAAATGAACAGATTATGGTTTTTCTACATCTCTGGGGGAAGGTTCCTTTGCCTGGAAACGACGATGATTGGAAAATTTACCTACCGATGTAACGATAAACACCACGGACCCTCCCAGCCCTCATCTAACACCACCCAGATGAACCCACGTGGGTTTTAGAACCCCCCAGAAGGACAGAATACTGGAGCATGACGGCAGCCGGGGGATCCCCACTGTGAAGCGTGAAGACTCCATGTCCTAAATTCCACCTGAAAGTAAACGCACTGGTACGGGGCCGGCGGGGCCCCGACGTACCTCGGGAAAGTAATCCTGCGGGAACTTCTCTTTCTCCAGCATGGGCGTGCTCTCCAGCGTGTCTGAGCAGATCTCCTTACCAGTGACTTTTTTATACTTCTTGGCTAGGAAAGAGCAGAAGAACCCGGGGGTAACTTCAGTTCTTCCCCTCCCCCCAGCTCAGGGCTACGTGGGGTCCCGCGTCCCACCTGGGCGGTGCTGTGGAGGCGAGGGAGGGCCCAGGAGGCAGACCCGACGAGGGCCACGACCCCAGGCAGGGCAGCTGCTCCTGGGGACGCCGTGGCTCATGCATTTCCATCCCTGGACCTGGAATCTGACACTGGGCTTCATTAGCTGCTCCGAGCTCCCAGCCTGCAGATTTACAGGGGCTAATTGGCATCCTCTGAGCAAACTGCGACTGTATTTAAAAGGGCCGTGGAGTTACCGTCCACTCACACTTAAGATGAATTTATTTAATAACATTGATTTCCTCCTTGCATCCAGCCAACATCACTCATAACCAGGGAAGGGGAGTCCTTACGTGAGACGGGGAAAAGGAATGGTGGCCAGGCATTCTGGGCCAGCGCTCCCTGGCCACCCGCCCCGTCCAGTGTCCCGCGGGCTCTCCCCGCATCTGGCTGACGCCCCCCGCACACAGGGCCTGGCCTGGTCCTTTCACACCCAGACCTGGGATCGTTCCTTTTCAGAGACCACCGTGGAGTTTAATGCACAAATGTGTCTATTCCTCAAACTCTTACTTGTCTGGTGGGTGGGAAGGCTGTCAGCCTCCCCACGAGATGCCGGCAGAGAGCCCAGGCAGTGGAGGGGCCTGCTGAGACCGCCACGGGGAGACCCCAGCCCAGGCGGTCACCAGACTGCCCCCACCGGCTGCCGGAGCATCACCTGTCCCCTGCCCCCGGGCCAGGACACTGGGGTGAGGGTCCTGGGGTGTGTGGAGATCCCTGGTGTTTGGGACGAAGGACGAGCCGGCCCGTCAGAGTGTCTGTGGAGGCCCTGCTCCGCGTCGCACGGGCAGCCCCGCCTGCAGTCTCTGGGCTGCCTGCCCCCACGGGCCCACTGACACACAGACAGCATGTGACATGGACCCCTCCCCCAGGACAGAGCTGCGCTGTACCCATTGCTCCTCTGACCTGGCTCCCAAACCACGGAGACGAGCCTCAGATGACAGGTGCAGCTGGCTCTGAGGCTACCCTCCCACCCCCGGGTTTGCCCAGCGGGGGACACGCAGGCGAACCCACGAGCCAGGAGGCTGGTGCCTGGGAAGGTGGGCACAGGCCAGTGTAAACAAATAAGGCACGAAGCCACGACCCACTCACAACACCCACCTGCAGTGGGAAATGACGCAGAAGTGTGTTAATTACAGGAGGCACTTACTGTAACCACCCATCCATCTCCGTGGAAGGATGGCGTTTATCAAACATCACCCCCCACAGCCGGCATCAGGGTGGCAGGGGGGCGGGGGGGAGTGCTGTCGGCGAGGCACACCTGCCGTCACCGGCACGTTGCGTCCAGCTCCCCTTCGCGAGGCGGACGGGCCACCCCGGCCCCAGAGCAGGGCAGCTGACCACTCCTGCTGACGGCAGGCCTGTCCCGCACAGACCGCCCCGGGCGCCAGGCTCTCAGGCGGCTGCAGCCTGCGGTGTGCACCCACGCGCCTCGCCCCTCTCTCCACCCCGCCCGGGCCTCCAACTCCCCTCCTGGGCCCTCCCTGCACCAGTGGGCACCAGGACGTCCACTGAGTGCCGTGGGGCCTGGCCAGAAGCTGAGGACGCGGATATGGGACGCAGACACGACCCGCAGAGTGGGCCTGGGCATGAGGCGGGGAGATGGACGTGGGTTAGGACACGGGACGTGGATACTCCCCGAGTGTGGAGGACGGGAGGGTGTCACCTGGGGGGCGGTCAGGGGAGCCCCGGAGCAGGGCGGAGCTGAGCCTGATAGAGGAGTGAGGGGTGGCCCTGGGCCCCCGCGAGGCCTCTGAGGAGGGTGAGGGCTGGGCGGAGGTCCAGCCCCTGGCAGCGGCCGCCTCTGCCGGGGCCTAGGTACGCCCCTCTTCCCGACATCCGGGCTCGTCCCTGGGAGGCACCGAGCTGCTGCTGGGGCCATGCGGGCCCACCGTCTGGGCACCCTGCAGGGGGTTATTTATCCCTGCTTCCTACGCCCCTTTGCTAACTGCCAGTATCGCCTAGACCTGAGAATAAAGAAAGTTCTTTCTAAAGGTCTGCTCAGGATGGGGATCCTCGTAGCAAAGGCTGAATCACCAAAACAACCCACTGGGGGCATCAGTTCATGAGCTGCAGAGGGGTGGACGCCCCCCCAAACGGACATCCTCAAGACGCATGGATGCCCACAGGGCAGATGCACCAGCCCTCGGTGAGCCAGGCGGGCACAGGTGCAGGACCAGCCCTGAGGCATGGGCAGCCACCTGCAGGCTCCTGGGAATGAGGACAGGGCAGGGGCTGCAGCAGCAGGCAGCTCTGCTGAGATGAAACCCCAGTTCCCTTGAGGAAAGAGGAGACTGGGGAGGGTGGGGGGAGGAGGCCGCTTTCTTAAAAATGAGCCTGTGTTTGTAGAGCAGTTTGGGGATTTTTACAAAAACTGAGTGGCAAGTGCAGAGTTCCCATCCGCCTCCCGAACAGCTTCCCACCATCTCGTGTTGGTGGGCTCGTACGCGCTGGGGGTCCCGACAAACGCACGACACCACGTATCCACCGCTGCGGTGGCACGCAGAGCACTTCCACGGCCCTACCCCCGCGCTCCCCCTGTCCATCCCTCCCTCCCCCAGCGCCTGTCAACCAGCCGTGCTTCGACTGCGTCCACCCTTCCCTCAGTCGTTGGCCACATGCTGCAGGCGGCCTCCTCCAGTGGGCTGCTTTCCATCAGGAACGCACATTTTAGGTTCCTCCTAAAAGGTTCCTCCGTGAGTTTTTGTATCTTCATAGCTCACTTTGTTTTACCGCTGAATAATATTCCCTTGTCTCTGGACCACAGCTTATTTGTTCATCTGTGAAGGACATATTCTGGTTACTTCCAGTTTTTTGCTAATTACGAATAAAGTTGCTATAAACATTGCTGTAAAGGTTTTTGTGCAGACATTAGTTTTCAACTCATTTGGGTAAATGCCAAGGGATGCGTAAGAGTATGTCTAGCTTTGCAAGAGATTGCCAACCTGTCTTGCAAAGAGGCTGGACGGTTCTGCATCCCACCAGCAGTGAGTGAGAGCTCCTGTTGCCCCACGTCCTTGCTAGCACGGCATTGTCAAGTTTTCAGATTTTAGCCATTCTCATAGGTGTGTAGTGGTTTTAACTGCTGTTTTAATTTGCATTTCCCTGGTGACATATGATGTTGAATATCTTTTCATCATATGTTTATTTGCTATTTGCATATCCTCCTGGGTGAGATGTCTGTTCAAATCTTTAGCTCACTTTTAAATTGGGTTGCTTTCTTATTGTTGAGTCTTAAGAGCTCTTTGTATATGTTGCATAACAGTCCTTTATCAGATGTGTCTTTTGCAAATATTTTCTCCCATCTCTGGCTTGCCTTCTCATTCTCTTAACAGTGTCTTTTGCAGAATGTAAGTTTTTCACTTTAGTAAAGTCCAACTTAAAATTATTTCTTTCATGGGTCATGCTTTTGGTGTTGCATCTAAAAAGCCATCACTGAACCCAAGGTTCACCTACATTTTCTCCTATGTTATCGTCTAGCAGTTTTACAGTTTCACATTTTACATTTAGGTCTATGATCCATTTTAAGTTTTTGTGAAGGTGTAAGGTCTGTGACTAGATTCCTTTTTTTGTGTGTGGACCATTTACAGCACCATTTGTTGAGAAGAGTCTCTTTGCTCTGTTTTGTTCCCTTTGCTCATGTGTCAAAGATCAGTTGACTGTATTTGTGTGGGTCCGTTTCTGGGCTCTCTCTTCTGTGCCATTGATCTGTTCGTCTCTTCTTTCAACAACACCACAGCGTCTTGATTGCTGTAACTTTATAGAAAGTCTCGACGTCGGGTAGCGTCAGTTCTCCGACTTTGTTCTTCCTCTCAATGTCGTGTGGGCTCTTCTGGGTCTTTTGCCTCCACGTAAACTTTAGAATCAGCTGGTCAATATCCACAGAATAACTTGCTGGGATTTTGAATGAGCTTGTGTTGAATCTATGGTTCAAGTTGGGAAGAACTTGACCATGCTGAGTCTTCCTATCCATGAACATGGACCATCTCTCCACTTCTTTGGGTCTTTTTTGATTCCTTCAATCAGATTCTGTAGTTTTCCTCATGTAGATATTATACATATTTTGTCAGATTTATTCCTAAGTGCTTCTTTTTGCATGTGTGCTAAGGTAAATTATACTGTGTTTTTATAAATTTATTTATTTATTTAATTTTGGCTGTGTTGGGTCTTCGTTTCTGCGCGAGGGCTTTTCTCTAGTTGAGGCGAGCGGGGGCCACTCTTCATCGCGGTGCGCGGGCCTCTCACTGCCGCGGCCTCTCTTGTTGCGGAGCACAGGCTCCAGACGCGCAGGCTCAGTAATTGTGGCTCACGGGCGCAGCTGCTCCGCGGCATGTGGGATCTTCCCAGACCAGGGCTCGAACCCGTGTCCCCTGCATTGGCAGGCAGATTCTCAACCACTGCGCCACCAGGGAAGCCCGA